CTGACTTTTATTGCACTGATCACACATTTATGTTAGGCTGACTTTTATTGCACTGATCACACAGTTATGTTAGGCTGACGTTTATTGTACTGATCACACATTCATGTTAGGCTGACTTTTATTGTACTGATTACACATTCATGTTAGGCTGACTTTTATTGCACTGATCACACATTCATGAATTTTGTATCTGCTTATCAGATTAGTGTACACAATAGTTTTAAAGCATTCACAGAAAAAATGTTGCAAGTATAAGGATTAGTTTTCTATTCGGTCAGGTTATGAGGTGATAACACACTCCAGTTGACCTGGCGTAATATTGATCATAGACGACTTTGTCATCTTTTGAATTTACTTATGCTCATCTGGAGTTATCACCTTATAACCTAACCAAGTAGGAAACTATTCCTAAGACATATAAACCTATGTGATACCTGGTTTTCTTATATTTGTGTTTTCATTTCAGAATTTGTTGTTGTACACAATGGTATCGTAACAAACTACAAAGACGTCAAATCATTTCTGGTAAGTCCATTGCTGACACCATTCTCTAAATCATATACATGTATCAAAAAGCATTATCCTTGATATTTAAAAAAAACAGTCAATAAACAATTAGGTCTTGCATCATGACAATGTAATACTATATGCATCTTGTAATTTAAACACCAATCCTATGTAATAATTGATGATAGCTTATCTTAAAAATACATATTAAAGTGAAATTTTGCAGTCTGCCCAACTTTTGATAAAAAGAATGACTGGCAGGTTTAACTTATTTCGGTTTGCAGCAATCAAAAGGTTTCGAGTTTGAGTCGGAGACGGACACAGAGGTGATCGCGAAGCTTGTACAACATGTGTTCAATTGTCACAAGGACGATGGGGTGACTTTCCGCGAATGTGTCGAGATGGCGATACAGCAACTGGTCAGTATTTGCTCTGGGTATGGATGTGATTAGGGGATTAGGTTTCAGTAACTCAGTGAATAGGATGTAATTAGGGAATAGGTTTTCAGTAACTCAATGAATAGGATGTTATTAGGGGAACATGTTTTCAGTAACACCCTGAATAGAATGTAATTAGATTAGGTTTTCAGTAACTCAGTGAGTAGAATGTAATAAGGGAATTTATTTTCAGTAACTCAGTGAATAGGATGTAATTAGGGAATAGGTTTTCAGTAACTCAAGAGATTAGAAGGTAATTAGGGAATAGGTATACAGCAACTCCGTGAATATGATGTAATTAGGGGAATAAGTTTTCAGTAACTCAGTGAGTAGGATGTAATTAGGGGAATATGTTACAGTAACTCGGTGAATAGGATGTAATTAAGGGAATATGTTTTAAGTAACTCAATGAATAGAATGTAGTTAGGGGAATATGTATTCAGTAACTCAGTGAATAGGATGTAATAAGGAAAGTAGGTTTTCAGTAACTCGGAGAATACAAAGTAACTAAGGAAAAGGTATTCAGTAACTCAGTGAATATGATGTAATTAGGGGAATATGTTTTCAGTAACTTAGTGAAAAGGATGAAGTAAGGCAAGTGGGTTTTCAGTAACTCAGTGAATAGGATGTAATTAGTTGAGGTTTTCAGTAACTCAGAGAGTACAAGGTAATTAGGGAAAAGGTATTCAGTAACTCAGTGAATAGGATGTAATTAAAGGAATAGATATTTAGTAACTCGGTGAATAGGATGTAATTAGGGGAATATGTTTTTAGTAACTCAAGAGACTAGAAGATAATTAGGGAATAGGTATACAGTAACTCAGTGAATATGATGTAATTAGGGGAATTTGTTTTCAGTAACTCAATGAGTAGGATGTAATTAGGGGAATATGTTTTCAGTAACTCAGTGAGTAGAATGTAACTAGGGGAATAGATATTCAGTAACTCAATGAATGGAATGTAATTAAGGGAATATGTATTCAGTAACTCAGTGAATAGGATGTAATTAGGGAAGTAAGTTTTCAGTAACTCAGAGAATACAAGGTAATTAGGGAAACGGTATTCAGTAACTCAGAGAATACAAGGTAATTAGGAAATAGGTTTTCAGTAACTCAGTGAGTAGGTTGTAATTAGGGGATAAGGGTTTCAACACCTCAGTTAATAGGATGAAATGTACCCAATTTGTAAAAATCTGAATCTCTGTACCCCAAATTGCTGGAATCAAATACTTTTCATGGACAGAAGGTTCTTGGGTGATTTATCAAACTTTGTGATTTGTATTGTCCCCATTTCTGTGTATCAGGTAATTCAAGTGTGATAGCCAAATCAGATGGTTTAACAGCCCATATGATTTAGATTATACAGACCCTGCCTATATCCGGGTAGCAGGTCCAATGTGCACCAAGGCATGAACAAGACAAAGATATATGACAATTTGGGTCAACAAACAATTCTTTTTCCAATAAAAACATTGACATATCACTTTTCATTCCAGTAAAGAGAGCACTATTTCGGAGAAGTCTCATGACCTTTAACAGGGACCTATAATGTATAAAATCCTGCTAGCCCTACTATTGTATATGTCTCACATCACATCCCTTTGCTGTTCTATTGTCAGGGGTATCAACACTCAGATTTAATCTCCTGTTGTTTTTTTCGTAGTTTTATTGTATAAAACATTGGAGGTTGTTTTATATCCTGGAGTCAGAAACCATTGTCCCTCAACATGGCTGTCATATAATTGTCTTTTTTACAGCGTATGTCCGCATATCTGTTATACCACTGCTTACCCTATGTTTGTATATGCCTAATGCCATTATGGCCATCAACACTCTAAAATTATCTCTTCAACAATTTTAATATCACATTTCTCATTATATCACCTTTTTTTCTGTGACAAAAGACAATGTTAAGAAAAAGTACAGTACATCCAAACAACTAAAATATTTTATGTTCTAGAGAATGCTTATTTTTCTTTGTATTTTTCTGTTTAGGAAGGAGCATTTGCTTTAGCTTTAATGAGCACAAACTACCCTGGGGAGTGTATAGCTACAAGGTAAGTCACAAACTTCCCTTTTCGAAATTTCCAGGGGGGAATTTATGCATGCTCAGAATTAAAAGCATAATAAATTGTGTGTATGTACACCCAAGCAAAACAATAGCCCTCTTAAAATGGCATCTTTGGAGCTGTTCTTTCAGTTAAAATCATCAGATCTTAGAAAATAGGAACAGTTTAGCAAATTCACTGGTTGAAAATGCTCAAAATTGGGTGTCTCCCTCCTAAATAGGGAGAGTTGGCAAGTATGTTAAAAAAAATAGAGCTAAAATGTAAGTGACCTTGGACAGTGTATAGCTACAAGGTATAGCTAAGATTTAAATGACCTTGGACATTGCATAGCTAAAAGGTATAGCTAAGATGTAAGTGACCTTAGACAGTGTATAGCTACAAGGTATAGCTAAGATGTAAGTGACCTTGGACAGTGTATAGCTACAAGGTATAGCTAAGATGTAAGTGACCCTGGACAGTGTATAGCTACAAGGTATAGCTAAGATGTAAGTGACCTTGGACAGTGTATAGCTACAGGGTATAGCTAAGATTTAAGTGACCTTGGACATTTTATAGCTACAAGGTATAGCTAAGATGTAAGTGACCTTGGACAGTGTATAGCTATGTGGTAAAGCTAAGATTTAAATGACCTTGGATATTGTATAGTTACAAGATATAGCTAAGATGTAAGTGACCTTGGACAGTGTATAGCTACAAGGTATAGCTAAGATTTAAGTGACCTTCAACAGTTTATAGCTACAAGGTATAAATAAGATGTAAGTGACCTTGGACAGTGTATAGCTACAAGGTATAGCTAAGATGTGAGTGACCTTGGACAGTGTATAGCTACAAGGTATAGCTAAGATGTAAGTGACCTTGGGCAGTGTATAGCTACAAGTTATAGCTAAGATGTAAGTGACCTTGGACAGTATATAGCTACAAGGTATAGCTAAGATGTAAGTGACCCTGGACAGTGTATAGCTACAAGGTATAGCTAAGATATAAGTGACCTTGGACAGTGTATAGCTACAAGGTATAGCTAAGATATAAGTGACCTTGGACAGTGTATAGCTACAAGGTATAGCTAAGATGTGAGTGACCTTGGACAGTGTATAGGAAGTAAATCACAAAGCCCTGGACTGTGTATAGCTATAAGTTGTAAACTATCCCTTTCTGAGTGTTGTTTGTTATTACCAACTCTATGTGAAGTTACAGCAGTGTGTCATAATTGTTTTTGAACTATTCAAAGGAAGATAAGACAGCTTCAAAAACACAAAATGGGGTATTATGTTTGATGTCAGGTCTATAGATGCTGTGTATATGGGGCCCCTCATTGTAATGATAATGACCTGTCTCAGGGTCAAGGATGGGTAGACATCTTGTTGATGGTGTATTAGGTGTCGGTCAGCAGCAGGTTAGTTTTCAGGTCAGCACACTGTCTAGATGTGTTGACAAAGACATATAAATGAAAGTAAACAGATCAGTGTATTTGCCATTTAGTTATTATATAGTCATTATTTAGATGTTTATATAAGCAATACAGAGTAGGCCATCCCAGACTTTGTCTCTCACCAGAACTTCTTCTGAATGACCAATAAACCTAGGATAATGATACAAGGGATACTTGTATTTGGCATATAGCATGCTGGGATAAAGGGATACTTGTATTTGGAAAGTAGCATGCTGGGATAAAGGGATACCAAGTTGGTTGAATTGAATTACCTAGTCATTAACCCACTTTTAAGATCACAGGGTTCTAATTTGTTAAACACTGAAAACTACTTCTTCGATATAACCAATAGGCCTAGAATGGTGACAATTGACCAGTAGACTGAAGAGCTATCAATTTAGTTCCAATCAATTACATTGACTGATGAAGGTCACAAGAGTCAAATGTATTAAAAATAATCTTTAAACAACTTCTTCTTAATAACCAATAGGCCAAGCCTCATGACACATGACCTGTGGCATGCTGGTAGAAAGGCCGTCAATTTTGTTTAAATGATTGACCTTGACCTGCCTTAAAGGTCACAGCTAGGGGTCAAATGTGTTAAAACCTTATATTTACATCTCTCCCTTCTTCACTTTAGTTTACGCTTACTGCGTATAAATTTGCGTATATGCAGTGAAAAAAGGCTGGGCCGATTGATACTTGTTTCAATTATAGCATCTTTCACGGTTCAGCGAGATAACAGTGCATTTTCTAAATTTACTCATATATCATCATTAAAACCTTGAAATATTTTCTTTTAATAGCAAGAGACCTATTGTCATTATATTGGGTTTGTAGGGTGCTGGGGTAAAGGGCTTTCAACTGTGTTCAGATCAATGACATTTACCTACTTTCAACGTCACAAGGTTAAATGATTGAAAGTCTATAAAGAACTACTATAGTACCTCTGAATGACCAAGAGGTCTAGGGTCATGCTATGTAGCCAATCACATGTCAGAGTAGAGGACTATCAAGTTAGTTTGAAAGTCACAGCATTGAATACCAGATGGGCAATACTTGTCCATTGGGCCTCTTGTTTTTACTTACCGTAAATCAGTATTCCAAGTGCTAAAATTTGATTGAATGAAGCCTTTTTTCTTCTTTTTTTTAAATATCAATAATGTAAAAACTGCCATTTTCCTTGCCTCTGAAATGAAGAATAAAATTAGATACATAGAGATACACTACTAGCTTCCTGTTTGACAAGTTTAAGGTAGACAAACCTTGTGGTATTACACTACTAGCTTCCTGTTTGACAAGTTTAAGGTAGACAAACCTTATGGTATTACACTACTAGCTTCCTGTTTGACAAGTTTAAGGTAGACAAACCTTGTGGTATTACACTACTAGCTTCCTGTTTGACAAGTTTAAGGTAGACAAACCTTGTGGTATTACACTACTAGCTTCCTGTTTGACAAGTTTAAGGTAGACAAACCTTGTGGTATTACACTACTAGCTTCCTGTTTGACAAGTTTAAGGTAGACAAACCTTGTGGTATTACACTACTAGCTTCCTGTTTGACAAGTTTAAGGTAGACAAACCTTGTGGTATTACACTACTAGCTTCCTGTTTGACAAGTTTAAGGTAGACAAACCTTGTGGTATTACACTACTAGCTTCCTGTTTGACAAGTTTAAGGTAGACAAACCTTGTGGTATTACACTACTAGCTTCCTGTTTGACAAGTTTAAGGTAGACAAACCTTGTGGTATTACACTACTAGCTTCCTGTTTGACAAGTTTAAGGTAGACAAACCTTGTGGTATTACACTACTAGCTTCCTGTTTGACAAGTTTAAGGTAGACAAACCTTGTGGTATTACACTACTAGCTTCCTGTTTGACAAGTTTAAGGTAGACAAACCTTGTGGTATTACACTACTAGCTTCCTGTTTGACAAGTTTAAGGTAGACAAACCTTGTGGTATTACACTACTAGCTTCCTGTTTGACAAGTTTAAGGTAGACAAACCTTGTGGTATTACACTACTAGCTTCCTGTTTGACAAGTTTAAGGTAGACAAACCTTGTGGTATTACACTACTAGCTTCCTGTTTGACAAGTTTAAGGTAGACAAACCTTGTGGTATTACACTACTAGCTTCCTGTTTGACAAGTTTAAGGTAGACAAACCTTGTGGTATTACACTACTAGCTTCCTGTTTGACAAGTTTAAGGTAGACAAACCTTGTGGTATTACACTACTAGCTTCCTGTTTGACAAGTTTAAGGTAGACAAACCTTGTGGTATTACACTACTAGCTTCCTGTTTGACAAGTTTAAGGTAGACAAACCTTGTGGTATTACACTACTAGCTTCCTGTTTGACAAGTTTAAGGTAGACAAACCTTGTGGTATTACACTACTAGCTTCCTGTTTGACAAGTTTAAGGTAGACAAACCTTGTGGTATTACACTACTAGCTTCCTGTTTGACAAGTTTAAGGTAGACAAACCTTGTGGTATTACACTACTAGCTTCCTGTTTGACAAGTTTAAGGTAGACAAACCTTGTGGTATTACACTACTAGCTTCCTGTTTGACAAGTTTAAGGTAGACAAACCTTGTGGTATTACACTACTAGCTTCCTGTTTGACAAGTTTAAGGTAGACAAACCTTGTGGTATTACACTACTAGCTTCCTGTTTGACAAGTTTAAGGTAGACAAACCTTGTGGTATTACACTACTAGCTTCCTGTTTGACAAGTTTAAGGTAGACAAACCTTGTGGTATTACACTACTAGCTTCCTGTTTGACAAGTTTAAGGTAGACAAACCTTGTGGTATTACACTACTAGCTTCCTGTTTGACAAGTTTAAGGTAGACAAACCTTGTGGTATTACACTACTAGCTTCCTGTTTGACAAGTTTAAGGTAGACAAACCTTGTGGTATTACACTACTAGCTTCCTGTTTGACAAGTTTAAGGTAGACAAACCTTGTGGTATTACACTACTAGCTTCCTGTTTGACAAGTTTAAGGTAGACAAACCTTGTGGTATTACACTACTAGCTTCCTGTTTGACAAGTTTAAGGTAGACAAACCTTGTGGTATTACACTACTAGCTTCCTGTTTGACAAGTTTAAGGTAGACAAACCTTGTGGTATTACACTACTAGCTTCCTGTTTGACAAGTTTAAGGTAGACAAACCTTGTGGTATTACACTACTAGCTTCCTGTTTGACAAGTTTAAGGTAGACAAACCTTGTGGTATTACACTACTAGCTTCCTGTTTGACAAGTTTAAGGTAGACAAACCTTGTGGTATTACACTACTAGCTTCCTGTTTGACAAGTTTAAGGTAGACAAACCTTGTGGTATTACACTACTAGCTTCCTGTTTGACAAGTTTAAGGTAGACAAACCTTGTGGTATTACACTACTAGCTTCCTGTTTGACAAGTTTAAGGTAGACAAACCTTGTGGTATTACACTACTAGCTTCCTGTTTGACAAGTTTAAGGTAGACAAACCTTGTGGTATTACACTACTAGCTTCCTGTTTGACAAGTTTAAGGTAGACAAACCTTGTGGTATTACAC